TTCAAAGCAAACCAAGGGTTGCAAATAGGTCAGGGGGCTGGGAGAGGGGCGATTTTCGTTTGAAAAAGGATATATTTTCATTCCTACCTAAATCTATTTTGTTTGCGGATACTTGTGGGTATTTGGGGGCTTTGCGCTTTCCCGTCTTCTGGAGCCTTTCAGAATCCTCTTTGGAGAGCTCCAGTTCTGGTTCCGTGGGGTCGGGAGCGCTTGCTGCAGCAGTTTTGTAGTTCTGGGCTGCAAATTTCTGGGGGTGGGGTGAGGGGTGGGGAGGCAGCTCCCAGGGAGACTGAGGGCAGTCCTGGAGAGGGGTTCTGGGTTATTGAGTTTATTTTTTGTTTGTTTGTTTGTTTTTGTTTTGGTAGAAGAACCCACCATGCATCTGGAGGCGCTTCCTCTAAGGTTGCACAGAGTGCAGAGAGTCATGTCTCGGCCCCCCTCTCCCGTCCCTAGCGTTGGTTGACCGGCTCTAGCTCTCCTCCTGTCTTCCTATGGCAGAACTTCCAAGTCGGGTTTCCACCTGACAACACTTAGCCTCAGCAAGGAAGCCCACGCTTGGAAGCGCGCCCCACCTCCGCGCGCCCCAGTCTTCTCCAGAGAGCTGGATGGGCCAGCTTGCGGACCTTCTTGTGTCATCTTCCTTGAATTTCTATGTAGCTACTAGCTCGACACGTTTTTGTTAGCATTGACCTAAATCTAATCTTTCTCTTATTCAGCCGGAACAGGCCCCAGTCCTTTCGGAGAAATGGAGTAGTTAAAGTCTTCCAGAGGGTTCGACAAAACAGGTTCTGAAGAGACTTTTTATTGTTTAGTGTGTGTGGGTTTTGTTTGTTTGTTTTTGTTTTGACCGAAACACACGTGATTCCCTTTTCTCCCCTCCCTGTTTTATAGCAATTGCCTTTCTACATCACCCTTCCGATTGACATTTGACACTTACATAATCGCGGCAGAGCCATTGGTATTTTTGACATGTGTCACCCTGAATTTGATGATGGTTCCTTTCTCTTAAAACAGAAGTATAAATAGCGCTTGGTGCGCTTCGTCAAAGGTCAAGGAATAATGAGGAGCCCAGTGGACCCCCACAAGCCGCAGATCCCAGGAGCAGGCTGCACCTGGAATCTCACCATTCGAGCGCCACGGTCCCCCAGGCTCAAAGTCCAGGGGCAAAAACGTCTTTCTCAACGCGGCCCTGTGAACCCTTCCAACAATCGAGCGCCACGGTCCCCCAGGCTCAAAGTCCAGGGGCAAAAACGTCTTTCTCAACGCGGCCCTGTGAACCCTTCCAACAACCTCGGATTTGCCAAAAGCTTTCATTTATTTTTAATTAAAATGCAATCCATTCGCTTTCAAGCGCAGCCTTGCCCTCCCTAACACACACACACACACACACACACACACACACACACACACACACACACTCATCATAGTGTTGGGATGAACTGGGACAGTGTTTGGGAAAACCCGGCTTTGTTGGGAAGTGTGCACAAGAGCTTGGAGGCCCAGAGAGGTCCCCCCAAGGAAAACAAAGTCAGGGGTCTCAGGGGGCATTTGAAAGCAGCAAACACTGAGCCCACCGGGCAGTGCGTGGCAGGACCCGGGGCCCGAGTGGACGAGTGGAGGGCAGGACGATCTCTACCCAAATGAGGCCAGCAGCTCACTCTCCTGGAGGAATACTGGGGGCAGATACCCCACGTACAGGACCTGGCTAGAGGCACTAGTCCAGAAAACACGCTGCTGCCGCTGCTGAAGGGATTAGGAACCCGGGTTCACCCCTCAGGGATCAAGGACAGAGTCCCAAAATTCTTTATTGTTAAAATTAAGAATCATACTATTTTAATTCTCCAATGTGAATGACAGTTATATATAGTTATATAGAGAATCAACGGGTGAGACGGGTGAGACGTCTTCATTTCAAACACAGCTTTGCAGCTACCGAACACAGTTAAAACTGGAGTTGAGTTGACCTCTCTCTCTCCCTCTCTCTCTCTCTCTCTCTCTCTCTCTCTCTCTCTCTCTCTCTCTCTCTCACTCACTTCCTCCCTCCTTCCTTTCCCCCCTCTCTCAGTCGCTTACATTTGTCTTTCTTTCGGGGTCTCTTTTTTAACATCTCCTTCCCAACACCCAAAACTAAGTTCTCAACAGAAAAATCATACTTTTTGAGCAATTAACTTGGAAGACCAGTAGCTTCGTTTTCTCAGTTCCTACCTAGTCCCTGAGAACGCCCTTCCTGGAGGACCTGAGCAGACCTTGAGCTGAAGGCCCAAGTTTGGGTGCAGGTTGAACGTGTGCCACCGCGGAAATGCTGGCTTCGAGTGGGAGCAGTTTGTGAGGAAGTCAGAGGCATCGAAATTCCAGCACCAGAACCAGAGCCATGGCTGGCTGTCGCCATCTTCGCTTCTGAAGTCTCCCTACGAATTTGGCCGGCAGCTTTTCTCGAGTTTAGGAGCAGAGGCGGTCTGGGCGGCCGTGGGAGTACAGACAGAACCTACGTCAGCACTCCTCAGAAGCTAGAGGCTGGCGGCCCCTTAGCATCTCTTCCTTCCACGCAGAGCCCCACGTTTCATAGGTCAGATCCAAGAGTCTATGAAACGGTGGCGTTAACCAAGTCTTAACGTTAATAAAGATGGGATAGAAAGAGGAAGGCAAATATCGTTCTCTGGTGAATGAAAGGGGCTTTGCTCCCCGGGTTGACACCCTTAAAAGACGCGAGCTTTGGAAAGGTACTGGGATGTTTAAGGCCTCCTACTTGGACTAACAAAGAAAGGCACATTGACATTCAAACTCCCTGGTGCTGCTCAGTTTTTATTGTGGCATCTATTTCTGCTTTCTGAGCCTTACATTTGGGTTTAGTAATCTCATGCAGTCTCTGTGACGACCCCCCCCAAAAAAAAAAAACAAAAAACAAACAAACAAACAAAAAAAAACCCCTGATGCATTAACTGCCTGATTCTTCAAGATCGACCCAAGTGTTTTTCTCCTCGCTTAGGTCAACCCTGCCCAGAACTTAAAGACAAGCCACAGGGACAAAGCCCCTTTTGATCCCCAACACCCCAGAGTGAAGAGCTTGACCAGAGACATTCTGGAGGAATTCCTGTATCGAAAGTTGTCGCTCGGATTTTAGTGATTAGAATCCAACTAATAATAATGGAGGGAGGAAATTTTTTTTTCTTGTTGTCATTCATCTCATTCCTCTTAGGTTTTAGATGCCACGCAAGAGATAAATATATTCCATTAAGTTGATTTCGTTCCCACAGCAATGAGACACCACCCCACAAGTGATAATGACGGGGGGGGGGCGCTCAGGAATGAAAATATAAATGGGGAAGGAACAGAAGAAAAAAGGAGGTGGAAAGATGAGACAGGTTGACCCTCGGCCTGCGAGGGGATTAAGATCATCCACAGGCTTAAGGAGCAACAAATTAATTTACACAATTCTGGAAGAGCCCAGATGGCTTTTAATTTAATCCCTTCAAAAGAAGGAAGCCGGCCGGCCGGGGATGTGCCTCCTGCCTGCCCCATTAGCTCCGTTTCGAAAAGGCCCAGACACCATTCGAGGTGAGGCGCCTAGAGCTTGTGGGCGAAGTGAGGGAGGGTGACGTGAGCTGGCGTGGGCGGAAGGAACGAACTTAAACCTCTTTTCCATAAAAGGGCTGGCTTTTCATTATTCCTCTCTTTAAAAAGTAATACCGTTTTCGTCCCTGATCCCTCCTCCACTTTTCCATTTTATTTTGCACAATTAATTGAGCTTGGGCTGGAACTACTCTTCTCGTCAGGTCCCTCCCCTCTTGGCTCCGCCCAAAGGACGCTGAGGCGGGGACTAGGCGGGCGCGGCCTTACGGTTTCCTAACCTTAGCCAATCAGAGGATGAGGCGCTCTTGGGTGGGCGTGCTCCAGGAGCGAGGCCAGGCAGAAGCTGAGCGCTATTGGAGGCGGTGGTTACGCCCAAGACCTGCGCCCCTCTCCTCGGTCCCGCCCCGCAGAGCCGCCCCGGAGTGACGTCCCTGAAAGTTCTCATTTTGGCCCCCCACCGCCCCTCCCTTGCGTCCCCCAGCTAAAGAGCGGCAGGGAGGGGTGCAAATGTTTTATTACCTTTGAGAGCTTCATCCGAACTGTCAGGCCCGGAGGGAGAGAGAGAAGGGAAGAGCCGCCGAGAGGGTCAGTTTGGCCAGAGGACAGGGCTTGCTTAGAAGAGCCAAGCCTGGAAAGCCAAGGAGAAATGCCAGAGAGGCGAGAGAAAGGCGGAGAGTGAGAGCAAGAGAGGGCGCCTGGGGGTGGGGCGCCCGCTTTGCAGAGCGGACAGACGATCGGAGCGGGAACCGACCCGTCAGACTTTTCACACTTAGGGGTTCTCTCTCTCTCTCTCTCTCTCTCTCTCTCTCTCTCTCTCTCTCTCTCTCTCTCTCTCTCTCTCTCTCTCTCTCTCTCCGTTACCGCTATTCGGGCGCCGCGTGGCTCAGAGGGGAAGCAGGCGCGTGGGCGCGGCAAGTCCCCAGGCCACCGGAGCGGTGGCCCTGCCCTTTCTGGCGCAGGAGCGCCGGGTCCGCAACGGTGGCAGGCGCGATCCCCAGCGCGGGCGGCTTGAGCCTGGTCCCTTGAGCGAGTAGCGGCTAGCGCGGATCAGCTGCCCGGAGGCCAGCGCTGAGCGTCCGAGCGAGATTAGAGGCGCGCACCGGGCGGAACGCGGCACCCTTTGAAGATCCCCAAAGAGAGCGAGCCAGCCTCCCACCCCGACATCAAAGTGTATGCTCGGTGGCTTCCCGCGTCGTTGCAAACTCTCAGGGGCTGGCCCTGGGCTTGTTTTGGTGATTTCCCGCGGGGGTGGCGAAGATGAGAAGTGGAGCACTCTGAGCCGGGGGCGAGGGCCAGGCGCCAGGGACCGAAGCCGCGACTCTCTGGACCGAGGAAGCGCCGAACCCGCCCGCATTCCCGCCGCCCTTGCTCGCCACCGCCTCCCACGCCGTGCTTGGACGTTTCTGCTGCATAGCTCGGACAGCAGCTCCCGGCGCCCACCGTCCCGACTCAACTGGCCGGTCCCCTCCGAGTGAGCCGAGCCACACTCCACTCGCTCTCCTCGCCCCAGGCGCGTCCGGCTCTTCCGAGTTCCGGCGGGGCCACCGGCCTGCGCGGCTGCGGGTTCGGGCCTGGCTGTGGGATGTTAGCTGTGGGGGCGATGGAGGGCCCCCGGCAGAGCGCGTTCCTGCTCAGCAGCCCGCCCCTGGCCGCCCTGCACAGCATGGCCGAGATGAAGACCCCGCTGTACCCTGCCGCCTATCCCCCGCTGCCCACCGGGCCCCCCTCTTCCTCCTCGTCCTCCTCGTCCTCGTCGCCCTCTCCGCCTTTGGGCGCCCACAATCCGGGCGGCTTGAAGCCCCCGGCAGCGGGGGGCCTCTCATCACTGAGCAGCCCCCCGCAGCAGCTCTCAGCCGCCACCCCGCACGGCATCAATGACATCCTGAGCCGGCCCTCCATGCCGGTGGCCTCGGGGGCCGCCCTCCCTTCCGCCTCGCCCTCGGGGTCCTCTTCCTCCTCCTCCTCGTCCGCCTCTGCCACCTCGGCCTCAGCGGCCGCCGCCGCCGCAGCTGCCGCCGCTGCAGCCGCCGCCTCGTCGCCCGCCGGGCTGCTGGCCGGCCTGCCCCGCTTCAGCAGCTTGAGCCCGCCGCCGCCGCCGCCCGGGCTCTACTTCAGCCCTAGTGCCGCGGCCGTGGCCGCAGTGGGCCGGTACCCCAAGCCCCTGGCCGAGCTGCCCGGCCGGACGCCCATCTTCTGGCCCGGGGTGATGCAGAGTCCGCCTTGGAGGGATGCACGCCTGGCCTGTACCCCCCGTGAGTACAATCGCGGGCTTGGGGTCATGCTTCCTTTGCGTGCTCTTGGGTCATGGCCCCTAGTGTGCCCGCGGGTCGCTCAGTCGGTCCTCCTGGCCATCCCAGTAGCTGGACAGTGCAGGAATAGCAGGGTGTTGTCTGGGCCCCGGGCGTCTAGCGAGGGATGCGTGCTTCCCTGAGCTGATCAAGTCTCGGGAAGGCCTGGGCTCTGAGGGAGAGCAAGTGTCTGGATAGAACACAGTGCCATGGGTGAGATTTTGTCTGGGTTGTTCCTAAAACTGACTAGCTCTGGATTAGAGAGTTGAAAAGCCGGGAAAAGGTCTCTGCACCCCTGTTTTTTTCCGGCTCTTTCCTGCTAACCATTCCTTTAGTAGCCTGACCCATGTTTTCTGCAAACCGGAGAGGGTACGGAGAGGGTACGCAGGGCAACCACCCACACCCTAGGAAAAGCAGGCATTTGCAAACAAGCACACCTCCCTTGACTTCTCCAGCTCACTTTTTTTTTTGGCCATCTCTTCCTCTCCCCCCCCCCCCCACCCCGCACACTCCTAGTAAACTTGTCCACAGCTAACCCGCTGAAGCTGTGCAGTGGTTCCCAGAATGGGGCGAGAAGCTCGGGGCCTGGGCTTTCCCAGGGTCCCAGGCAAGTTGTATCTGGGCTCATTGTAGAGGCATTTTGACACTCAATGGCCTAATACAAGAAAGGAGAGGGAGAGAAACATGACAGACACAGGCCAGTAAAACGGAGCTCCCAAAGACTTTGTCTGGGTCAAGTCGTCCAGCAAGCGGACCACAGCTCCTAGAATGGTCCCAGCCCCCAGATGGCGTCCAGGGTCCTGCTCAAATCCTTTTCTCACTCTGTTCTTTGCCAATGACCAAGTCCCCTAAGTTAGTCCAAGTCACTGGACCTCCTTACTTGGGGCTTAGTAGCAATAACTTCAGTAACTGAGGGAACCGAGTGAGGTTTTCTTGGGAAGGGGACTCCTCCGGGTTACTGGGTTGTCAGGGACGTGTATCAGTGTTGATTATAGATATCGCCAAAAGCTGAGTCCCTCTGCCCTCTCTTCCTCCAGCGGGTAGTGGCCTCAGACTTGGGACCTGTTTGCTCTCAAGCGTGCAAAACACAAGGAGTCTTTTGTTGCCCAACACATGACCGGGTGGGAGGATATAATAAAAAATAAAAACTTGGTTACTTTCATACCAAACTACTTCTATGCTCAGGCACTGAGCCTCGCCCAGGAGGCGAGGGAGAGCTTTCTCATGCATTGCTGCTTAGTTTAAAAGGTGTGTGTGTGCCCTATTTTAACACTGCATTCATTGGCAGTGGCCTCCCTAGCTGTTTGGCACTGTGGTTAAGCAGAAAGTAGTTACTGCTGCTGCCCCAACCGCAACTGGCTTTGGCAAAACGAATGGGCATGAGCTGGCAAAAGGCAGAGCTGCAAACACTTCTGGAGCAGGCCATGGACGGGTATTTACTACCAAAAAGGCATAGCTTTGCTAATTCGCACACTGTTCCCGTCCCCTGCCTCCCCCGTGGGACACTGTAGCTGCTTGTCCGTTCCCTCCGTTGTTATGATATCGGTTTTTGCAGATCAGGGATCCATCTTGTTGGACAAAGATGGGAAGAGAAAACACACGAGACCCACGTTCTCTGGCCAACAGATCTTCGCCCTGGAGAAGACCTTCGAACAAACGAAGTACTTGGCGGGGCCAGAGAGAGCTCGCTTGGCCTATTCTTTGGGGATGACAGAGAGTCAGGTCAAGGTGAGTGGACCTTTGACACCTCCAGGGATATCGTTCCGGACCTGCGCGCGTTTGTGTGTGTGTGTGTGTGTGTGTGTGTGTGTGTGTGTGTTCACGCTCAGCGCCGGTATTTCCCCCCTCCCTAAACTAACGAACCTGGTGGAGGTGAGGGGAGGCTGCGCCCTGAGGAGCCTGGGGAGAAATGGAGGGTTGGGGGTCGCACTGGCCCTGGGTGGTTTTTTTTTTTTTGAGGCAAAGTGTTGAACAAAAGGAATCAAGTACCCGCCTTAGAAATTAGGCTAATCTAGAATGCAGCCTGTACTGCGGTGGGGGTGGGGGGACTTGCCTTTATCAGAGAATAAAATTAAGGAGATAGCACAGATCCAGCCGATTAAAAAGCTTGATTCGTTTTGTTTGTAAAGATACTCAAGCTTTTGTTTGTCAATTCAGGCTCCACCAGATATGTGACTTACTAACAGGGACCAGCATTATGGTGCTTCTATATTAATTTGTAGATTAAAAGTAAATGAATCCAGTGGAACTTAACACTGATAAGACTTGCTTTTGGTTTAGATGAAGATGATGGTTTTGGAATAGTAATTTTCCGAATGAGCTGACAAGATTTTCAGTGTATTGTAGGGTTGAATTCTGTTTAAATCAAGTTTATATGTAGAATTAATATACTGCAATTTGCAAGTAAGATGTCACGTTGCTTATAATTGAGTTGTCTACTTCATTTCCAGGGAATCAAATTTTAGAAGTCTATCCCTGAAAATAAAAGGAATTGAACTTGTTGTGTAAATTCAGTCTGGTAGTTTTATTGGTTTTCTGTGTTCTCTTTGTCCATTTCAGTTTGTTACACTTGTATCGTGAGTGTGTGTGTGTGTGGGGGGGGGCTCTGCTTTCTTTAGTTATATTGTTTCTCATTAAGGAGAAGTATCCTCAAGTCTGTTACTTAGAGTTTATTTCCCTGCTAACAAAGCATCACACAATATATTTCAATGGAGATTTTTCACGTGGCCATTAGAAAACCATCACATTCAAAATTATTTTTTGCAGTGGGTGGCTACTACCTTAATCTGGAGGTCTTCATTTGTCACCATAAATATGTCCATATGGCCAGAAATGAATTATTATAGCAATATAAAAGAAAATCACTTTTCTTAACAATTCTAATTCCCTGAATAAAATACCTAACAGACGAGAAGCATAAAAAGGACAATTCAAAATGTTCAGAAAATTGGTTGTTTATTTTCAATTCTAAGGATGAAAATGCATGTATCAGACCCATGTCAAACATCACGAACAGGTTGAACTTATTTATATTTCAAATGAATTCTTAGGTGGGAGGAATATTACACTAATGTTTGAAAGAACAGTTGAGATCATAATAAAAAATAATGTAATGGGCAACATGTCAATTTAGAACTAGCTAGTGGTAACATTTTACCTTTGATTTTATGTACGACATAGGGAAAAACACTCAGCCCCAGCCCCACCGTGCGTGATAATTCTGACAGAGCGGTTAAATATTTTCATACCTCTGTATCTGTTGCTATGAGTGAATTGAAGTTGTCATTTTACCAGAAAACTTCGGAGCACGCATCTTTGACCAAGGAAGTTATTGCAAGCTCAGGCATGAAATAAGTTAACAGTCAAGTGTTTAAAAAGTGAGAAACACAGTAGAAATAATTGGATTAATGTTGTGCTCTTCCGTACAAATCACGGGGAATTCTAGTTGTTTGAAACTTCTTAATCTACGAATACAATTAAGGACAAAAATCCACCACTGCCGGAAAACTGAGAAAGTTTCCCCTTTTCCAGTTTGAACGTAGGAAAAGCAAGTTTATTTTTAGGGAAACTCATTCACTCTTTCGGAGAAAAGGCTTACTGGTGGCCCCAATGCTCTTGTGTTAGTTACTATCGCTATGGCAACGGCGGTGGGTTAGTGAGACCACCGGACTGACTTTGACGCCAGAACTCTTGTGGGGGGGGCGCAAAGGAGGGTGGCAAAGTGGGAGCCTGGGTCTTCCGTTGCTCAATTCTCCCCGGCCCTGCCTCTCCCCTCCCTTCTCTCCGTGCTCAGGTCTGGTTCCAGAACCGCCGGACCAAGTGGAGGAAGAAGCACGCAGCTGAGATGGCCACCGCCAAGAAGAAGCAGGACTCGGAGACCGAGCGGCTCAAGGGGACTTCCGAGAACGAGGAGGACGACGACGATTACAACAAGCCGCTGGACCCGAACTCTGATGACGAGAAAATCACGCAGCTGCTGAAAAAGCACAAGTCGAGCAGCGGCGGCCTTCTGCTGCACGCGTCGGAGGCAGAGGGCTCGTCCTGAGCGCCGCCCGCCCGCCCGCAGCGCCGGGATCCCGGGCCGCGCCGCTCCGACTGCGCCCCACAGCCGGTCCTGCAGGCCCTAGCACCCCGGGTGCTCCCCGGGCCTTTACTATTTTCTAAGATGTATATATCTATTTTTTTAACCTAGAAATCGCGGCGGGGGCTGGGGGGATAGGACTGCGCGTTGACGAGAAGGAAGCCCGCTGAGTGCACTGCGCAAAACGCCCGCAACCGAACCCGCATCCCCGCGGCTCCCCAAGACCCTTCCCACCCGCGACGTCAGCCCCCTCAACCCCCGTTCCAGGCTCGGTCCCTTGCTCTGCGGTCCCTGAGCTCCGGGGTCGTGTTTGCTGTTTGCGAACAGTCAACAGCCGACAGGCTGCGCCTGGTGGGAAGCTCCGAGCCTTGAGGGCGTCTGCCACCTAGGGAAAAAAGGAAAGGGACGCCCCTGCTGCCCTCAACTGCTCTGCCCACTAAGTCACCTGTTGAAGGCTCTGTGTAAATAAATCGTGAGTCACACTGACTAGAAGTTACTTTATTGTGAATATTTAAAATGTAAAATGCTTTTTGGAATTTGGTATAAAGAGATGGACCTCTCCTCCCATTGGTTTTAAGAGCTGTTCACAGTACTTGGCCGCCTTTCATTTTAACTTGGGAATCCCAGAAAAGAACGTCATCACCCTCCTCAAACAGACACCTCCCGACTCCTCACCAGTCTCTTTCTCCTTCACCAATTCTTGCCACCCCGGGCAGACCTCGCTGGGTCCCAGGGCAGCCCCAGGTCCCCCGCCCTGCCCCAGGACTTGAAGCCTGAAATTGCAGAACCCGCAAGCTTCTCACACCAGCTTCTGGGTTCCCTTCCGAAATTGCACAGTCGTTTGTTGCTATTTATTAGTGATTTAAAGAAAATATCGGGGAGGGAGGGACTACACTATATTGTATTTAATTTAACTCCTTTCTGATAAAAAAAATGCGTGTTAAAAGTAGATGGTGGGAATTGTTACAAGCGCTCTGGGTCAGAACATAAAAATTCCATTTAGTTGCTGTAATTAAATTCGAAGTGTTTTTGTATCATAAGAAATACTATAGAATATGTAAATTGTTTTCTTTTTAAGCTAATAACGGTGATATATTAGCCTCTTTAACATTTATTAATTTATACAGGGAATTTGGTTTGTAAAGAAAAGGCAGCCCCTTTGCAAGACCCATGAAATGTAATATGCACTTTCAGTTTTAAAGGATAAATCTAATTAAAAACAGCAACAAAACTAGTTTGAAGACGTCTATTGCCTTGGGTGAATGGGTACAGGTCACCTGGCTTTATCAGAGATCTCAAATAAGTCAACAGCATACACACACACACACACACACACACACACACACGTATTACATAGGCTTCCTGGGTAAAATAGCTCCTCCTCCCCTTCACCATCACCACCACCACCATTACTATCATCATAATCAGCTGTAGTATCTCCATCACCTACTTTTTGGAGGAATCATACCTACCCCCTGGAGCAGAAGGGTGGAGAGACAGCCCTGTTATCAGGGCTTACTGGGAACTGTCTGGTGGGTGCTTCTGATGTCTCTCCTAAACCCCCCTCCAACCTCCCCCCCCCCCCGCCCCTTTTGCCAGGAATTCCCCGGGGAATCTAGGAAGACCTCATCTCCTTGTATCAGGGGTAGGTTCCTCAGCCAACCCCTGATTCAATTAGCTGAAGGGGAGCAGGGAGCTAGGCGCTGCCCCTCTGCATTAGTCACCTAGCTCAATGCAAAAAAGCCCAGAGCTCCGAATTCCCTGAGCACTATAGTGAACAGAAGGAAAGCCTCTTTAAAATGACCAGACCTGGCAGCCTTTAGCATTGCAGACTCAAGCTTTTTCCAGGAGTGGGTGGGTGGGTGGTGGTGTTAATCTGGAGTGTTGGAGGGCAGTTATTGTCTTGGGTTGTGGGGAACATGGGCATAATTTGTTTTTGTTTTATTTTCAGACACCCGGTTACAGGTCCAGGGAGGTATACTTTCTCCTTAGTGATGTAAGTTAATGAGCTTGTGTCCAAAGAAAGTCAGATCAATGGTACCCTCATCCTTTAGTGCAGAGAAAGCAAGTATGAGAACTGTTTGATTTTCTAGAGAATATTTTTAAAACGTTCCCTCCCCCAGAAAGTTGGATGGCTAATGGTAAAGGTTCATCTTATGATGTAGACTCCTGATGGTAAGGTTCAGTGGGAAAGAAGGAGGAAATCACCCTTTTTGTTGTTTCCAGTTTGCAAAGTTCTCCAGAAGTTTCAAATTCATTTTGGTTTCTGTGTTCTCAGCAAGACTGAGGCATTCATCCTTGGGGGGGGGGGTAGGTTGCTACTGCTCTGCTGGAGTGAAGGCCAGTTAAGCCTAACTATGAACAAGAAAGAAACCACCTCTCCTCTCTTCCTTCATCCTTTCCCCTTCATTCCTTCTCTCGTTCTTCCCCTTCTTTGTGACAATTTACCTCCCTCTTCCCTTCCCTCCTCCCCTCCCTCTAGTTTTTTTTTTTTTTGTTTGTTTGTTTCACTGTTTCTGAGAAAGGGAACAAACAAGCATGCTACTTTGCAAAGACACCTTATCGAAACAAATATAAATCCTTTTCTCAATGTGCTCATGTCAACGTTTAACCTTTTTGGTGCATGAACAAAGCTAGGAAATCAAAAGGAAAGAAGAGTTCACACTACAATTAAAAACAATAACAGTAACTAATAATTGGAGAAATTATATAGTAATAAGAGTCACAGGAAACTTTTGAGTAAGGCTGAATGTGTTTCTCATTCAGGAAGTAAATCATCTGAAGGCTGACTGTTTATTTCAGGTTGGACTTGTGGAGAGGGACCTGTTAAGATTGTCTCTATCTCTGTGCCTTTAGATGTGAACACTTGGTGGGGAGCACTGTGGCCTCCACTGTGCCCCACCCCTAAGTTGGACATGGCTGTGAGAGGTTCTGCAAGGAGCTGAGCTGGTGGCCCCAGGCTCGGGGGCCATGCCTGCTGCATTGGCATTTACTCTTTTTCTAGCTGTCTGCAGCAGTGACGTGAAGTTTCCAGTTAATTTATTTCCACCCCAAACTTCAGCTGGCCACGGGTTACCACTGGCCACATACAGCTGGTAGGAAGGGAGAAGTAGGCGGGAGGGCACCTCTTCTACTTTCCATTGTCTGTCTATGTCCAAAGATCACTTTTCCCTAAGAGCTAGAGTGGAGGGAAACCAAGGAAGCACCCCCACCCCCCACCTCCCATCCCCCCCACCCCCACCCCCGCACAAGCAGCCAAGGGGAAGAATCCTTTGGCCTCTTCCCTTGCTTTGTTAAAAATATTAGGGCATTAACAACCATGAGCACCCAATGAGGGCTGCCCCCAGCCTTTACAGCTGGGGAGCTTCATGACTGAAAGCCAAAAAAAAGAGGGGAGTGCGTGAAAGGGAGGGTACAGTGTTTTGATTTTTGTTGCAATGTTTCTTTTCCTAAAAAGGCTGCTTGAGGGATGGGAACAAACCATGCTCTTGCTCAGTTCTCTTTCATACCAGCCCAGTTTTGCTTTTTAGCGATTAACTTTCCCTTTGGGTTACATTCTGGATTCTGAAGTCAGGTCCATATGCTTTCCTCCCAGAAGCTGGGGTGGCAGTATTGGACTCATTGTCAAGCTTGTGAGCATTTTAATTCACCTTTCTTTTCCCTATTGAGGGTAGTGTAGGAAGACAGCCTGCAGGAGCCCTGCTCTTTCTGAACATACTGTAAGTTCTGTGTTACAGGGGCTAAGGATGCCTTTGACATCTTCTGTGTAGGGTCAAGAGATGAGAATGATAGTAAGCCAACACGCACGCATGCACGTGCACACACACACACACACACACACACACACACACACACACAGAGAGAGAGAGAGAGAGAGAGAGAGAGAGAGAGAGAGAGAGAGAGAGAAATTCCACTTGGGAACTCCGAGCACTGAAGAGTCTGAAGAGACAGTGGCTCCTTTGTGAACCCTCAACAATAGGGCGGTGTAACAACAGCAGAGGTTAGTGTTGGTTTCATCTATAAACTCCATCTTAGGCTAATTTGAACAGCTTTCTCAGCTTTCAACACCCCTCCCCCTTTGCCCCTCACACACACACACACACACACACACACACACACAGACGTGCAGGGGATTCTCCACCCCCCCCCCCAGGACCATGTTTTCTTTTTAAAGACAGTTCTTCAGTGCACTCTACCCCCTTCTCAGGAAAGTACTATTTTGTTCTGAAGCATTTGGATGGCTACTTCAGGGAAGGATGCACCTTCCCGCTGGTAATACTCTCCTCACATCATCTCCCCCTTCCTCCTCCCCTTCCCTTCCCCAGTAGTCTCTTGCTTTCCTCCCCACCTCCCCTTCTTCTCTCCTTCTAGCTCCCCACCCTCTTCCTTCTCATCCCTCCCCTTTCCTTCCCTTTCCAGACCCTTTCCTGCTGGCCTCACCCTGGAGAGTCTCCTGTCCCTCCTCCTGCGATGGTGGGCCCATGCCACCACACCCAACAAGATCCTCTTAAAACACAGCACCACACCCCTCCCATTTATTAATGTGAAGGTAATGGAGAGGAGGGGAGGTGTGACTGAAGGTTAGGGGCATTTCCCTGAGACTGGCTTGGAGTTGTTCCACAAACTGAAGAGTTGATCTTGGGGTCTAAGTCACTCTCTGGCTTCCTTTCCCATCTAACCCCAGTGACTGGGAAGATTAGCTGTCTAGATGCTTTCACTGTTCTGAGGCACCCAGAGCAGACATTAAGATGATGTAATCATACATCAGAAACTTTGGAAAGCATAACTTTCCCAAGGCGATTGGTATCTATTCCAGCCAACCTGAAGTAGACACCTCTTTTTATAGTCACAATGTCTACTTGAGAAACAAAGCCTAGTTCAGATAAAGATGTACTCAAAGATGGATAATTTCTACATTGTAAGGGTGAGTTTTCCACCATGCAGCTTAGATAGGTGCTTATTATTGTTATAGAGGATCTCTAATAGTTTCTATGCCTTTATAT